TGTCCCCCATGGCAGTCTCCTTGTCCCCCATGGCAGTCTCCTTGTCCCCCATGACAGTCTCCTTGTCCCCCATGACAGTCTCCTTGTCCCCCATGACAGTCTCCTTGTCCCCCATGACAGTCTCCTTGTCCCCCATGACAGTCTCCTTGTCCCCCATGACAGTCTCCTTGTCCCCCATGACAGTCTCCTTGTCCCCCATGACAGTCTCCGTGTCCCCCATGACAGTCTCCTTGTCCCCCATGACAGTCTCCTTGTCCCCCATGACAGTCTCCTCGTCCCCCATGACAGTCTCCTCGTCCCCCATGACAGTCTCCTTGTCCTGATACAAAAAATAATTTTAACAAAAACCATATTTAACCGTGCTAAGAAGCGCTTCTCATTGGTGACTTCGCTGACCAACGAGTACTCACACAGGGCTGAGCTGGACAGCAGTATGGGGTACAGATAGTGCACCCGTACCAGTGGGGGAGGGGGGAGGACTGTTCTCCGAAAGGTAAGTATAGCAAGTGAGGGGAAAAGGGGGCCGGATTGAGCGGGTAATTCCATTTTTCCTAATTACTTGGGAAAGTGATCTTGCAATGTGCGTGTTGGAAAGCCCTGCTGCCTGGCTACCACAATATGTCAGAGTAGAATGGGAGCACACACACACACACAATGCTCTACATGTGCATTTATTCCCATGCACATGGCGGTTTTGGTTTTATCACTTTTTTAAAAAAAACATTATTTCTATTATTATTTTTTTAATTGTTTACTTTATTTTTTATTTTTCTATCACTTAACTTTATTGCTATCACACAGAGGTTAACAAGCCTCTGTGTGATAGCGTTTGGAGGTGACAGATTTTCTTTATGGAGTCTGCCCTCCAATACAGAAGATTGGGCACAGCATTGTGCAGCCCGGCTTGTGACAGCTGAGACAGGAACGCTGTGAGTATAGTTCTTCTATCTCACTGATCACACAGAACAGATCAGAGAACAGATGTTCACCGACCTGCTCTC